GTTTCACTTATTTGATAATCCTGCCTATTGCTGTATTCTTGTCGTGATGATTTGCAAATCGCTCTCCTGATTCGAGCGAAAAGATTGTTCAATGAGAACTCTCATTATCCGTTTTGATTTACTGAATTTCAGGTATATTTTTTGGTGCTGACCACACCAAGCGAAGAATAAATAGTATTGGGTGCTTTTCGAAAGATATTTCAAAATCTCCAGTATGTTTTGTCGATGACTTTTCAATTAATTGTATTCATTTACCTCGATTTCTTTTCTTTTCACCGACTATAGCTATTCTCAATTCGTCTCATCCATTCCACATTCAAGCCAGACTCATTCAAGTAGTACTCAAATATTCCCTATCTTCAAATGTTCGAGAATCCCGAATATTTTTCGCGTTTCTCCTTCTGAAACCTCTTAAAGATCCCTGGACAGTTGAATTCTTCTCGGATTTTTGACTTCATTATTCTTTTTCAATCCGCAATCCTAATTTGAGGAATTTCAGATTTTTGGAGATTTTTGAAAATATTCAGCAGCGCAGCAACTCTATCGTTGGATTTTTTTTAATGTAAGCTTTAATTGACATTATTTCATTATTTTTTGCATGCATTTCTTCAACATTTTCATTTGGATTTAATTTCACTATATCTCACATTCCATTGTTATCTGTAGAATACATCGCACTACTGACATGTTCCTATCATGATATCATCTGTTATATACCTTGATATATTCCACTAATATGTTCTTCCATATTCTCTTTATTCGTATACAAATCCGTACATACTTCATTGAATTATATAGTTGTGAAGCATCATCAAACTAATCCAGATAATAATCAGTAATAGTTGATCGTAGTCATAACTTTTCGAATCTTTTCGGGTTGATTCATCTTCTGACTGTAAGCATATCAATACATCTCGCACGTTTTCTATATAGACGTGTTTTGCTTGAAAATGAACACGCGATTCATTCTAATATATGGATATATGCAATATTTTATGCTGACATCCATCATAATGTTAAATTGAAGCATTTTGCCATCAAAATTATGAAAGATAATGACTCATTTATCGTTTACGCAACAGTTTTGCCCAAAGATTTTCTGTGAAAATTTCCAATTGACTTTAATCGACAAAAATTTTTGATGTTGCACTTGATCATTTCGATATCGCTATCCAAAGTGAACGTACAACTAATTCGCCAAATAAATTGCTTGATCGTCCAAATCATTTATCATAATTGCCCTCAAATATTGCTTATTGCTGCCTAACTGAAATTCAGATGCATTTGTAAGATTATAAGAAATTCAAAAACTTAGTTTAAAACTTGCACGGCACTATATGATCGCTCTGGAAATTCATCTTGAATTGATGGGTACATTCCGCGTTACGAAGAAAGAACGTCTGTTTATTTCCTCATCAATATCTACCTTGAGAATGAAAT